GTCACTTTCCTCTTCCTTTTTCATGAAGCACTTGAGGGCGGCGGTGTTGAAGTCCACTATTACACAGCATCTTAGCGCAAGGTAAAAAAAACAAAAAACAATTGAGATGGCGAGATAACGGAGAGGCTGTAGGTGACGCAGCAAGTAGGATGATACAGCCTAGTCGAGACATCACGGGAGAGGAACTCTTCCCTACACTAGATCGAATATGATTGCCTCCCATTTCCCAAGGCGCTGCAGGACCCTGCAGATTTAAGCGTTCTCAAATTAAATAAATAAAATACGGGGAGAGACTGTGGGTGGTCGTTACAAGGGTATAACACAACCTAGCCTCAGTGGAGAGGCTGTCGGTACGCTATGAAGGTATAACAAAACCTTGCCGCCCTCTTTATTAAGGGGAGAGGCTGTGGGTGAAGCAACAAAGGCATAACACAACATAGCCACTCTATTAAGGGGTGAGGCTGTGGGTGACGCTACAAGGGTATAATATAACCTAGTCTCCCTCTTTACTAAGGCAAGTGGTCTGGCACGATCTAACCAACCCTCTATTTGAGGAAGAGGCTGTGGGTGACACTGTAAGTGGTATGACACAATCTAGCCTAATACATCATTACAAGGTATTTGAGTGGGTGTGAATTGGACCTGCCTAGCAAGCGCTAGTAGACCTGCTGCGTTCCTCCTCCATTCTTGTTTTTACGTTCAAGGCACGAGCAAGTTAGACTATCAGTCTGTGAGCCTCCAGCACGGCAACAGCTTTTATGATTAGTGCGGTTAACATAGGGGCCAGAAATGCTCTGGCTTAAATTTTTACAAATGTGATACGTTTTCTTATCCAGGGGGCCCTTACTGTGCTTTCTGGTATATATATTTAAGTAAAATATGTTAAAATACCCCAAGAAAATATCCTGCACGATCCCAAAAAGTTCCACCACGAGCAACTAGGTATATTATATTACAAAAAAAAAAAAAGATATAATCAGGTTGCCAAACCCAGTTTTTTGCTGAACTTGGAATTCTGTATAATTGTTTTCTTAGCAGACTGATAATACTGTAAATTCATAAAAAATCATATAATTCTGTAAATTCATAAAAAATCACATATCAGCATGAATGTTGAGTATTATAATGAAACGCGTTTCACATTTTTCTATTTTTAAGGTTGAAGAGATTATTTTTATGCTCTAATGATGACTGGATGAGTCATTATTTGAGAATGCAAGATAGCTACTGGTTTAATTTAGTATATTTTCAGTGAGGCGGAACCACATCATGTTATAAACCTGAACAGTTTTTTTAATAAAAGTATTAACATTTACTTGTGTGCATGAAAATGACTTACGTAATCCTTCTAGGTGGTAAACGTACAATGTAATACACAGAGGAGAAAGTTGTATCTTTACGTGGAAGCAACCAGTATCTTTGTGCCCTAAAGAGCTTTTAATTCAGAAATAAGCTGTATCTCTGTCCCACGAGCCGCGACACGTAGAATCAAACAGTATTTTTTATATCACACAAGCATTGCAACACAGGTGCAAGCTGTATGGAGATAAACAGCACTAAATTTTTGTTATAACGAGGGAAACTGAATACAAATGCATTTTGAGCGCTTTATGTTTGTTTTATATTCTTTATTAGTTAGACAGGACGTTGGAAACATGGCTCTCATCACACTATTGATCGAAATGTGTGGGAATACAGACACTTGTTGCAGAGGGAAAACTATTTTTATATAATACGTTTCGCCCTGTGTACAGCTTAATCAAGTCATGACTTGATCAAGATCTACACAGCGAAGCGTAGTATATAATAAAGGTTAAGTATACACTAGGTGCTTGTTTACCATGCTTACCTACAATATCTTCCATCCAACATGTATGGCAGTCTCTACCAGCATGCACCTTCAATGATTCCACTTTTATGTAACTAGAGCACAATATGCAGTTTACGATATTTTATTAAGACACTGCTTCATCTACTAGGGACTTCACCAATTCTTATCAGTTCTAGAACTGACGAAACGTTTTCTCAATTATAAAATGCTACAAACAGCATATTTACATTCGTGGCGGTATGTGGTACCACTGATATACGATCCCACTCTTGCAACAAGAAAACGAATGAGGCTGCAACAATATATGTATATAACGATAATATAACGATAGTCTAACGCTGGCAATTGTCAAGGGTTTAAAGGCCATTACTCCTATTAAAGCTTGTCAGTTTTATGTATCTCAATTGTACTCCAGTGTGTAGTTAAAATATGTCTGGCAGTTTAGATTCAAGATTATTGTGTTTCTTAAGTTAATGTCAGTACATGGAGCCCCGCACAGATAAACACAGGCCACATGCTTAACACATACATCTAGTAAGCACAGTCCTAAGCCATAATTAGAGTACAAAGTCTTACTTCTAAGTGCTGCACATGTTTACCACTTTTTAATCTCATCGAGTTACGATACCTCTCAAAGGAGGTGCTTTGACGCCGACCAGGGACTCTTGA